ACACACACACACACAGAGGAGGCATGGTAGAGTAGTAGGTAGCAACTAGGATTAAGGAATCAGAAGCAGAATTCAATTTTGAGTCGAATCCATTACATTTGCTTACATGCTAATGTCCTTGGGAAAGGTATTAATCCTCTTCTCCCTCCAGCTATGGGCAAATAGCTGGACAGACTGGGTTCTATAGCCTTGGATGGCAACTGGTCTAGGAGAAGGACAACTCTTAATTCAAAACAAGCAGAGGGTCATTTGGGGACCTTGTGGCACATAGTGCACCAGGTCTCTGCATTTGGCTCTTCAAGAAGTGTGGATGGTTCTGTACAAAGCCTTCTTCACTGTAATCAAATCATATGTGCTGGTGTCTGAACTGTTGGTTCCTAGGAACTGAGCTGCCTGATGCTCATCCGTTCAAAGAACACACACATACATATATATATAAATATATAAGTGAACATTGAAGTCAACACTCAGTGGCGACAGGCTGTTTCATGCTAGATGCAATTGCTAGAGCGGCCTGACAATTGCATCTAGCATGAAACAGCCTGTCGCCTCTGAGTGTTGACTTCAATGTTCACTTTTATATTTATATTTACATATGCTCTATCTCTGATATTGAGCACTTTATCCCATAAATATAGCACACAAACTAAAATATATATATATATATATATATATATATATATATATATATATATATATATATATATATATATACACACACATCTCATTTCATTCATTGCACTTGTTTTTTTTTTTTTTACAAATTGAACATTTTATTAACTTTGTGTAGAGCATGTTGAAAGATGGCGTTTTCAGAGCCACATGGAGTTGATTTGTAGGATTGCGTCACATTTTGGTAGCAATAAAGCATTTTTTAATTGACGGTTTTTCTTTCCATTTAAAAAAAATAAATAAAAAGACTTAATGTCATTGTACACTTAACAGGATACTGGAAATTGTCAACATAACTTTTGTGTGTGCTGCGAAACCAAAATATACATCTGACTCATTTTACCGTGTGATTTTGGAACCAAATTAGCAATATTTTTTTTTTTTTTTTTTTTTTTACATGTGAACAGGTTAGAGAATAATGGCTCAGAATGAAAAACCAGAGAGCAGAGTTCAAATTCCAATCACATTCATTACTTTCATTTACATGCAAAATACCCCTTTTCTCCTCCCAGTTATGCGCTGAATAACAGGACAGACTGTGTCCTATAGCCTTGGTTGGCAAACAGCCTACTGCAAGAAATCTTCTGCCTTTTCATATTTATTTCTTTGTGAAATGGTAAATAATAAATATTTCATTTTTGTTGGTTCATATCTTGTAAATATAAAATTATTCTTGTAAATAAGCAATCTAATAAATAAATGGTATTTAATATTTTTGTTGACAATTCTTAAGAATAAAGATAAAGTGTTGACAATTCTTAAGAATAAAGATAAAGTGTTGACAATTCTTAAGAATAAAGATAAGATAAAGTATAAACTCACTTTAGTTTGCGTGTTATGAAAGTTCTATTCATTGCTTTTTAAAACAAATATTGCTGAGGGTGTAAAAACAAATGGTGTAATATTGGTGTCAAGGGAATAATCATTATTTTGACATACTGGCTTTTTAAAAAAAAAAAAAACAATAAATATTGAAAAGGGAGACAAAATGAAATTTTAAAAATGGTGTAATGTTAGTGCCAAGGGAATAACTGTCCGTTTTCTGGAGGGTATAACGGTTAAACATTGCCAAGCTTCCCTATTTATATTTAATATTGCTGCATTATGAAGTTTAGCTAGTTACAAGTCCTTGTTGCTTATAGTATATGGGTGTTGTGTATGATACACCTAATTTACATAAGTGGAGTACCGACCATATAAATATGGGTTGGTACCGGAAGACGACGGAAGATTAAGAGATCGAATCTAGAGACTCTGCCCGACTGCGACTTAGTCAACCCATTCTGCAGGAACAGTCTTCCCAAGAATATACCAAAACTACCTGTAAATATTGTGTACCTTTTTTCATTGTTTCAATACATTTTGTTACGTACATTTTGTGTTGTATTATTATTATTCCATGCTTATTCAAGCTTCAACAATGGGCAAGCAGCCTACTAGATAACTTTGCAGAGAAAGCGTGGGAGATATCTTTCAAACCATTCTTTTGGGAAAGACACAAAAAAATAAAAAATAAAAATAAAAATGGAGGACGGTCTTTTTATACAATCAAACACAATTTCCAATAGAGAAAATGCTTATATATATATATATATATATATATATATATATATATATATATATATATATATATATATATATATATGTATGTGTGTGTGTGTGTATGTATATAAGCAAATATATGGATATAGATCCGACAGTATGAAGAAAAATATACAGAAAAACAAACAAAAATCTTAATATGCAATTATGTTATATTAGTATTTAGTTAATTATCCAATTTAATTTAAATTAACGAAATATTAATATATTTGTGTGTTATATTAACATTAATACAGCATAATTGCATATTAAGATTTTTGTTTGTTTTTTCTGTATATTTTTCTTCATATATATATATATATATACACACACACACAGAAATAAGTCACATATCTCTCAAACCATTCTTTTGGGAAAGACACCAAAAACAACAAAAAACAAAAAAAAAAAAAACTAAAAACAACAACAAAACAGAAAACAAAAACAACAATTGTGTAATGGAGGACAGTCTTTTATACAATCAAACACACAATTTCCAATGGAGAAAATTGATTGATTGGTTGGTTTGCTTTTTTTTATGTCTTAACCCTTTGTAGGTTATTTAAAGGCAAAACATGCTTCAGATTGTATGAGGTCACTTACAGTAATAAATGTCAGAGATAGATTGTCTGTATAAATAACCAGTATGGACAAAGAAACCAAAACTGCATAATGACTTGCAGTTTCACACATTATGCAATCATCAGGCCATACTAGTTATTGATTAATCCATTTTTTATGTCTTAACCTTTTGCAGGTTATTTAAAGCCAGAAAATATTTTGAGATTATATGAATACTTTTTTTTTCCGAGATAATAATGGTTAAGTGATACAATTCTTACTGATTAACTTATAGGTGATAGGAAGACATGGATTCATAATTTTCTCAATGACATTTGCATGTAAGTGACTATAACGAACCCAACAGGAATTGAAACTTGGCTATCCAATTAACAATTCCAAACTATTATCCATTATGCCACCTGCACATTCAAGTTTACAGTTGGTATTCCCAAGCAGTTACTCATCTAGGTACTGACCAGGTTTGATGTTGCTTAACTTTGGTTATCATACAGGACCTGATGTGGCCATAAGCAAAACTGTGTGTTGATAGTGATGACGAAATGTACTTGTGACAAATCAGACTTGTGTTATTTTAACAAGTTTTTCTTTTTTAATTCTTGCTTTAAAAAAAAAAAGAAATGTAACAATTTCCAAACACTCCAATATACAAAATCCAAACCATTATAGATCCTTATGTATTTGTGGATAGCATCATGGTTTTGGAAGAAGAAACTGCAATTGGCAAGCCAAGTTCAAACTGTAGCCTAGTCAGTAGCATTCTCTTTCACATTACAATTCATGAGGAAAGCATGAATCTCTCATTTTCGTTCCTACTTAAGGGTTAAATAGCAGGGTAGATTAGCTGATCTAGCCTTGTGTGGCAGCCAGTCTGGGAGAACAACTATAAATTCAAAATATCATAAGAAGGCAGTGAGAAATCACTACTATCTTTCCCATGGAGTCATGTACATACACAGATTTATCTAAAAATAAAAAAGAATCCCACAAATTTATAATCATCTATGTAGTTGATTTTCAGAATTATTTCTGGGAAATTTAACACAAATTGGTTTAAAAATGAGAATTGGAAAAAATTCTTAGTTCTTGCAGACTTTATGGCTACAAAACATTTCACTTTCATTGCTTGCCTTGATAAAGTCGGAAGATGAAACGTGCCAGCAAGAACTAAGAATTTTTTCCAAATTGTCATTTTTAAACCAATCATCTATGTCCTGAAGGGACATGGCATTAAAAAAAAATATATATATATCAGGTATTTTAGAGAAGGAAAGGAAATGTCACAGATACTGTAGATAGGTAGGTACAAAAGAAGAAATAGATAAAGATATTTAGTAACAAAAACATTTAGTGACAGGTTAATAATTTAACTTTGAGAAACATTTTGACTTAAGAAAAGGAATGTTTGTACTGATGAGCCACCATACAGAGCAAACATTTCCAGGATCTTTTGGCAGACCCCATAACTTATTCCAGTCCAGTGACAGAGTTGATGGATTGTTCAGAGATGGTCTTCATGGATGCATTCATACAATTTTCTGGGTTTTTTTTGCAGGTGGATGGTTACCCCTGGATGTTCATCATTTCAAACTGACACTTAACCAGCCCTTTTTTAAGAAGGGTGTCACTCAGAAAGACAAATGCCTGACCTTAAGGAATGTTTGCCAAAAACCTGACAAAGCATTTTGAAAAACTTGGTCGCAGATTTTTAAACTTTGTACCAAACCTGATTCAAACATGTTGCTCATATTTGTCAGTCATTGTAAAGATTGCAGAGTTGTTGTACTATATTACAAAACTTTTGGTAATAAGTGAAACAAGTAGCAAAAAAGAGTATTGTCAAACTCAGTAGGCTGAGTACAGTGATTGATTGATTGATCAATTTGTTTTTTTTTATGGCTTATCAACCTTTTGCAGGTTATTTAAAGCCCAAAAACATTTTGGGATTATAAAATTTTTTTGTGGATGGGGGGGGATAATAATGATTTTACTGATACAATTCCTACTATTTAGCCCATAGCTGTGGAGGAGAAGTGGCGGATTCATACTTCCCCAGCCCAGGTATTTTGTGCATGAGTGAATATGATGACTGGAATTGAAACTTTGCTATCTGATTTCAATTTGCCATCAGTTATCTATTACACCACCCGCACACCCAAGTTTATAGTACCTAGTATTCCCAAGCAGTTACCCATCTGAATACTGACTAGGCTCAACATTGCTTAACTTTAGTGACCAAACGAGAACTGGTGTTTCAATGTGATATGGCCGTAAGCCTTGGGTACAGTGAGTGTTAGCTACATGTAATTTTCTGTTGAAAAGTATATGCATGGCAACTGTTCAATGTCCCATTTCATGATATTAATATAAATATATAATATTAATAAAAAAAGATTTATATTTTGGGGTTCATGCCTGAATGAAAAAAAAGACATCAGTAATACTACTTGATCATAAAATCTGAATTGTTTGTAAATGGGAAAATATATGTTGCAGACATCAGGGTGTACCTCTGATTTATTCCTTTGTTTTTAACGGAGGAGCGGTAAGTATATATTGATCATCAGGCTGGAATAGTATCCCAATAAAAATTGGCACGTTGGGAGGGGCTGTAAAAATTATCCCCCCCCTCAATTACTAAAATTTATTAATTATTCAGACAAGTATTTTTACATGTCATTTATCAGTTGTGAGTTGGAACAGAGAACTCAGAAAGCCATGTTCCAATTCCAGTTGGGTTCATTATATTTACTTACACCAAAATACCCTTGGGAAAAGGGGTATGAATTCATCTCATCTCCCTCCCAGTTGGGCCATGTTGACAACCAGTCTACTGCAGAAAGAAACATGAATTTAAAGAGACAGGATCACTGAAGCGTGTATCACATATGACACTTGACAAATATACTTACATTTTCATATTGTTTTGCTTTGTATCACAATAAAGCCCTGCCAGAGAGGCCCTCTATACACTGAGTGCCACACCTGAAGAGAGGCAAACCCCCTCCAAAAGAGGTCATCTACTGGGTTGGTGCTCACAGACACAGTTACAAATGCAATCAATATTTGACGACAGTTACAGGAATTATTTTACTGTTACACTTATTGACTAAATTACGGAATTGTTTCCCTTTTTCATGAGAAAAACTTAAGCATAAGCAGTAATGAATCCTTGAAAGTTAATGATAATTAGTATTTGCAAAGAATTATCTGAATTCTACAATTAGGAGTCAAATTGATATTGAAATTAAATGCCACAAAAATGCAACATTTAAAAACCAGTAAGAAAGTTGGCATTTTTAGAAATACAAGAAATTGTAATCCAGTGAAGAAAGAGAAAAAGACTTCACAAAAAACATGTTAAATCAATAAAAATTCCAGTAAAAAAGAAAAAAAAGAAAGGTAAAGTCATCACACCCACAATAATAAAAAGTGGTCATTTTTTATTAAGTATGGTTTTAAGTTAATAAAAATGGAGAAAAAAGCAATTTTCAAAGTCTAAAAGAAAAATAAAAGAGAGAGAAGGGAGAAATTCAATAAAATCTGAAGGCAAAAGAAATGGAAAGTTTTACATTAAAATGTTCTGCATTTTCCCTACCCCAGCCATTCTGAATAGATTTAACAATAAGCAAATCATGTGACCATGAACAGCCAATCAAAATGATAGGCTATTTATCAGAAATGGCAAGAAATTCAGGTTTGAAAAAGAGAAAAATGTGTACCAATTTAAAAATGTAGATTTGTGATTTTTTAGTTGAGCATGTGTGAAACGAAGACTGGAATTTCAATAAAACTGCTTTGATCTGAAAATAGAATGTCTAACATTTTTAACTGATCAAAATGCAGCAGAAAAAAGAAGCAGGGACTTAAGCCAAAACTAAAAAGAGTAAGACAATTGTCAAAAAATAAAATCATAAAATGTATGTGTATGATCTCCCATTCAGAGTGGCAAAAGATTTAATGTTATTGCACGTTAGCTTAAGGCCTGGCAAACTTCAAAATTTGTGCCATTATATCAACAGCTGAGGACTTCAACATGAAGCTACAAGTGAGATCTTTGTAACTTGACAAGAAACGAATAAAAAAAAAAAAAGATTCCTGTCGTAGATAAATTCATGAAATTAAAAGATGAAGAATTTAAGTATCAGAGTGTGATATTTATCCACTTTCTCACGGCAGGAGGAGGTGTCACAAAGACAAAAACTGGAACTTCTGGGACCAGACTTCACTCATAACATGAAGAGGAGAATATATACTACACTTTGATCCCACCCTAATGGTCAGAAAGGGGAGGCAAAACATTTCATGCAAAAAAAAAAAAAAAAAAAAAAAAAAAAAAAACATAGAATAATAGTATTTACACTGTTATCCTCACCTTTATTGTTTATATTCATGACGCTCCAGCCTTCCTCAGGTGATAAATGTACAACAGGCACTACTACCAGATTTTTCAAATTTTCTTTCATATTCCTAGAGATTTAAAGCACACCAGATCATGAAAATCAACTGGTTTTTTTTTAATTAAATTTTATACAAGTTAATAGGTAGATTCAGTTTGCCATGTAAATTAATTCCCTGCTACAGAAGCCAAAACAATATATTTATACAATGTTATTTCTTTAAAATGCCAAAAAAAAAAAAAAAAAAAAAAAAAAAAAAAAAAATTTAAATTTTAAGTTCATAATCTGGAGTTCTTTTTTTCATGAGTAATTAATTATTTAATTAATAAATTAATGATTTTTTTTTTTTTGATTAAGCATTCCAATTACCAAATTTAAAAAAAAAAAAAAATTTTTTTTTTTACATTTTAAGAAATCACACTATATGAACATATTTTTTTTTTTACGTCCATAGTGGGGATCCATTTACAATAAATTTACTTAAACTGACTCACAACCACTATTAACTTCAACATTATATTCTATAGTAATACAAAAAAAAAAAAAAAAAAAAAGATATTTTTTTAAAGATTATTTCTGGTCATAGTGACTATTGCAAAACTTCACCAACCATATATCCTGTTACTTTTCTTACTTGTCATAAACCACTCTGCACACCTAATAGAGAAATTATAATTCCTAATGGTGATATCATGTTTTCTATCCCAAATGTAAGACAGATGCTTATCTCTAAGGTCATACTTACCACAACAGAAACCAGAGCAAAAAGTTTGTTTTCTAAATAATCAGTTCAGCAACAACCAGAGATATGAGACTCTGAAGTTGGGATTTATTCACCTATCCACAAGGACAAGCTTAATAAGGGAATATTTCGCATATAGAAACAAAAACTAATTAATGCCTGTGTCACAAAGGTATCAAAGCAACCCGCAACTTTCTTTTTACGTGCAATACGAATACAGACAGATGAAAAAAGTTGGAAGATACAACATCCAAAATGTTGGTCGTGTAGGAGCCAAGGTGAGAATTCTTGTCCAAATATAAAAGCATTTCATAAGAATATTTTTAACATAAAAAAATTAATCTTATTCCATAAAATTTTGGCACAATTAAAAAAAAAAAAAAAAAAAAAGCAATGTTTTTTGTTTTTTTTTTTCATTTTATTTTTCTCTTTGTTTCATCTTGATTTGCAAAACTATTTTGGAATTTAAGAAATACATGACACATGATTGTGTCACATGACAACATGAAAAACAAAAAAGCTGTGCCAAGGACGCACAGTTGCGTCATTTTACGTACAATGGATGCAGGTTAAATGGATTAGTCATTGAGCAAGAACAGACTCAAATGGATGTAATATTGCATCAGTTTTATGCAAATTCATTCAATGGAAACAAATGCATAAAGAAGGCAAAATTCAAACAGAACATGTTCTGCTTAGGTGGTTTAATAAATTTTATTTTATTTACCAGAATAAAGTTGTCCCATATAACAATTTCACATGGTAACAATCAAAAAAACTGAGATGGCATAATATAAATATTCAAATAAGCATTGAATATGTTTAGAAATTTTATTTTATTTACCAAAATAAAGCATAAATTGTCTTATATAGCAGTTCTTAATGATAAATGATCAATATAGATGGTATCATATAAGAGCTGAAACAGAATTTTTTTTTTTTTAATCATTTCATCCCAAGCAAGGCAATAAAGCCACTAAGATATAAGAGGTTACTGAGAGGGAAAGAATATAAGCAAAAGAAACCATTATTAAGGAGAGAAAACAATAAAAGAACAGTAGTTAAGACAACTGACATTGCATTTAAATTTTTGAAGATCAAAGTTGACTGGAAACCAAGAAAGTATCTGGAAGAGGGTTACACAGGCGAGAAGTGCAAAAAAACTTAGCATAAAACTTATGGTTACATCTCGCCATTTCAACTGTAAAATGATGAGACCTTGTCACAAATCTAATCGTAAACTTAAATTCATAAAGTCTAGACACCCTTAGAGGCATGGTGGTATAATGGGTAGCAGCTCAGGTTGAGGAATTGGAGAGCCAAGTTTAAATTCCAGTTGAATCCATTACATTCACTTATGTGCTAATACCCTTGGGAAAGGTATGAATCCTCTTCTCCCCCAGCTATGTGTAAATATTAGGACAGACTGGGTTCTATAGCCTTGGGTGGCAACTGATCTACTGCAGAAAGAAATAGCAACCTACTGCGGGAAAAATCGGCCTTGTCAGTCATGTATCAAAAGATACATGATCGCCTAAGCGTGTATCATGCATGGCACATAGAGGAAAGCAACATTTATTTTGAAAAATACAAAAATGTGGCACAAGGCCAAAAGGGGGATAGGGGAAGGTTGGTCTTTAGTCGGTTTTATTTTAAACTTAGCTTGCCATGATTACTGATGAGATTCAGTCACCCCCCCCCCACGAGGGTGTCATGTGGCACAAGGCCTTTTTAATGTAGGCATTCCGAGCCCGTGGGCTCGGCCAAAAATATGCCCATTGAACCCATATAAATGGGTTCAGGGCCGGTCTACCTCCCCGAAGGTGACTCCGCCCTTTGGTGTAGCCTCCTTCGGGTTCCTCCCGTCCGTAGGAAGAGAATACAACCGAACAGTTGGTTCAGAGTTGAACGACTTGCCATGATTACCTACCCAAACATACCACAGTATTCCTTATACCAAAACAAAACATTCTCACTTATCATAATAAATCAAAGACTGTATGAAGTTCTTACAAGTTCCCAGATGTACAATTTGTCTGTTGTGAATATGGCAATAAAGTGGAGGACAACAGCCCGAACAATGTAAATAGTGTAAATAATTACAATACCTTATCTCAGAAATATCAACAGGT